GTGTTTTTCGTCTTCGCACCGAGCTTGTCCCCAAGAGGCCCCCAAGCAGACCCCAAGGGGCTTCCAATGTATGTATTTATGTATGCATGTCTGTATGTATGTATGGATGGATGGGTGGATGAACGGATGGATGGATGGATGGATGGATGGATGGATGGATGGATACGGATGGGGATGGATATGTAAATGTATATGCATATGTATATGTATGTGTATATGTGTACTTGTATGTATATGTATATGTATATGCACATGTATATGTATATGCGTATGTACATGTATATGTAAATGTATATGTTTTTGCATGTGCATATTCATAGGTATGTTTGTATATATATATATATATGGACATGTATATGTACATGTATATGTACATGTATATGTACATGTATATGTACACGTATATGTGTATGCACATGTTGATGTAAATGTACTTGTATAGGTGTATGTATATATTCATGTACATGTACATGTAATGCACGTGAATATGTATACATATCCATATATATATGTATATATATATATATATATATATATATATATATGTATGCAAGCTGTTGTGTATAGGTGCATCTGTACATAGGCATATGCATGTGTATAGGTATGATATTATTTTTAAATATAGATGCATGCATATGCGTATGACTAATTATATGTATGTGTATGTATATGTATAGGTTTAGGTATGCGTATGTACATATGCTTATGTTTATGTAGATGTGTATGTATACGTATATGTATACGTATATGTATCTGCATTTGTATATGTATTTGCACATGGGCATGTATATGTATTTGTATACGTATATGTATATGTAGACGTAGATGTAAATGAATATGTACATCTATATTTACATGTATGTCATATGTAGATGTAGCTGTAGATGTAGATGTAGATGTAGATGCATATGGAAATGTATATGTGTATGCAGACGTATATGTATATGTCCATGTGTATATATATATATATATATATACATAGAGAGAGAGAGAGAGAGAGAGAGAGAGAGAGAGAGAGAGAGATAGAGAGAGAGAGAGAGAGATGTAGGTATCCCCGTGCACGAGGCCCGGGCGACCGGGGCCGCGACCACGACAGGGCATGGGAGGACCAGGGTTCCCCAGTCCGCTCCCAGAGCACCCTGGAGCGGCCCTGGAGCTCCCAGACTGTCCCAGAGAGCTCCCAGAAGCCCTCGGGGACTTCGACAAGCCCTTCCAAGACAGCCCAGATAGCCTTAACGTGGTCCAGGATGGGTTCGAGACCGCAAATACACAGCCCAAGAGGCCTCCAAGAGGCCTCAAGAGAGCTCCGAGAAGCATCCCGAGAGCCCGAAGAGGCTCAAATCCTTGATTTCCGTTGGTTTTTGAAATGTTTTTCGGTGTCTCGCGTTTTCGACCTCCCGGCGCTCTACGACAGCCGACGACGCCCCCAAACCGCCGAAAAGACCTCCAACAGAGCCCCAAGATTGCCCAAGGGAGCCCGAAAATTGCCTGGGACGAGCCTCAGACGGCCCAAGAGAGCCCCAGGACAGGCCCATGCTGGGCCCCACAGCGGGAGCGGGAGGCCCCAAGGCGGCCCTGATGGCCCGAACGTGGCCCCAGATGGGCCCAACACTGCCAATACACAGCCCAAGAGCCCTCCGAAATGTATGTATGTATGTGCATGTATGTATGTATGTATGTATGTATGTATGTATGTATGTATGTATGTACGTGTGTATGTATGTATGCATGCATGCATGCATGCATGCATGTATGTATGTATGTATGCATATATGTATATATGCATATATGTATATATGTATATATGTGTGTATGTATGTATGTATGTATGTATGTATGTATGTATGTATGTATGTATGTATGTATGTATGTATGTATGTATGTATTAATGTAATGTAATGTAATGTAATGTAATGTAATGTAAGGTAAGGTAAGGTAAGGTAAGGTAAGGTAAGGTAAGGTAAGGTAAGGTAAGGTAAGGTAAGGTAAGGTATGTATGTATGTATGTATGTGTGTATGTATGTGTGTGTATGTATGTATGTATGTATGTGTGTATGTATGTGTATATATACATGATTACATACATATACACATCTATATACACATATACATATATATATATATATATACAAGGCTGCATAGGCGCTTCGCGCCATGCATCTTGTTCCTTGAAGCTTTGGATCGGCTGGCTTCTCGCGGTATCCTGCGGTCCCTTCGAGGGGTCCTCGCGGGCTCGCATTGCGAATGTGCAGAGGTTGCGGAGGGGGAGTGGGAGAACTTGGTGTTCGAAGCAACGAAAGGGGCAAATGGAATGCAAGAAAAGGACTTCAGAGGGAAACTTATCGAATCCCGGGTTCGCAACCAAATTTCTTAAAAAAGGGTGCGAACCCAGGATTCTGACCAGAATGCAGCTGTATACTGCAAAGTATGAGGCAGGGGGGGCGCGGGGAGGCGCGCTGACGCGACTTTGGGACAGGCAGGCTCTACGAACGTTATGTATGGGCTTCGTTCGGAAGACGTGTCGAAACGCTCCCTGGCACGTCTGTAACCCGGTGTGGAGCGCTCAAACGTTCCGACTTGGGCCCCGTGGAATCGCTTGGAGGCTTCTTGAGCACTCTTGGGTGGTCTTGTGGGCATCTGCGGCTGTCTCGGAGGTCAGGAGAGCCGAACATGCGAGAAAGAAAAAAAAACCTTGGGGCTCTCTGGGGCCGTCTTGGGCACCCCTTGGGCTGTGTCGGGGCTGTCTGGGGCCGTCTTGGGCACCCCTTGGGCCGTGTCGGGGCTGTCTTGGGCCGGTTTCGGACTCGCTTGGAGGCCTCTTGAGCCGTCTGGCATCGGTCTTGTGAGCGTCTTCGGCCGTCTTGGCACGTCGGAACAGTGAACATGCAAAGAAGCAAAAATCTTAGAAAAACCATAGGAAATCACTGATTTTCATCTCTTGGGGGCTTCTTCGGAGGACTCTGGAAGGCTCTTGGGACCCTCTTGGGCCTTCGTAGGAGCCTCGAGAAAGCCTCTGGGGAGGTCCAAGGAGCCTCGCGTGTCCTCTCACCTTCCTCTTTGGACGGAGAGCGCTAATTTTCGCGCTCGGAGGCTGCGATCCTCGTGAGGGGTCCCGTTTCCGGAAGTCCCGGTTGGGGAGGATCCTATTTCGGGGGGGGGGGTCCCACCCCCCAGGATTATAAAGGCCTTCTTCGGAGAACTCGTGGAGGTTCTTAGAGGCCTTGTGGGGCGTCGTGGGGGAACTTCGTGAATGCTTCTTGGCGGCTCTTGGGCGCCTCGTGGCACGTCTGGGGAGCCGTTGAGGAGTCTTGGAGCTTCGTGTGGGCGTCTGGGTGCAGAGTCCTTGAAATCATAAGCCTTTTGCGCGCCTGGTGGCCCTTCTTGTGGCCTCCTGGAAGGGGCTTGGGGCCTCGCGTGGCCGTGTGGGAGCCGAGCGCGTTGCAATTGTATGTTTTTTCCCTTTTAAGCTCTGTCTGAAGCTTGTCGTGGGGCTCTCTGGGGCCGTCTTGGGCACGGCTTGGGCCGTCTGGAGGCTCTGTTGGGCCGGCTGTGGACTCGCTTGGAGGCTGCTTGGGCCCTCTGGGATTGGTCTTGTGGGCGTCTTCGGCCGTCTTGGCACGTCGGAACAGTGAACATGCAACGAAGCCAAAATCTTAGGAAAGCCATAGGAAATTAATGATTTTGATCTCTTGGGGCCCTCTTCAGAGAACTCTGCGAGGTTCGTGGGGCCTTCTCAAGCTGTCGGGGGAACCTTTAAGAAGCTTTGAAGGCAACCCGAGGACCCTCGCGTACCCTCGTAGGTGCCTCTTCGGACGAAGATCGCTCAGTTTCGCGCTGGAAGGCTACGATCCTCGTGAGGGGTGCCGTTTCTGAAGGCCGTCTTGGGGCTCTCTGGGGCCGTCTGGGGCACCCCTTGGGCCGTGTCGGGGCTGTCTTGGGCCGGTTTCGGACTCGCTTGGAGGCCTCTTGAGCCGTCTGGCATCGGTCTTGTGGGCGTCTTCGGCCGTCTTGGCACGTCGGAACAGTGAACATGCAAAGAAGCAATAAACTTAGAAAAACCATAGGAAATCACAGATGTTCATCTCTCGGGGGCTTCTTCGGAGGACTCTGGAAGGCTCTTGGGACCCTCTTGGGCCTTCGTAGGAGCCTCGAGAAAGCCTCTCGGGAGGTCCAAGGAGCCTCGCGTGTCCTCTCACCTTCCTCTTTGGACGGAGAGCGCTAATTTTCGCGCTCGGAGGCTGCGATCCTCGTGAGGGGTCCCGTTTCCGGAAGTCCCGGTTGGGGAGGATCCTATTTCGGGGGGGGGGGTCCCACCCCCCAGGATTATAAAAATATAGAAAAGGGAATATATATATATATATACACATATATATATATATATATGATGTGTTGGTTTATGTATGCATAATATATAGTATATATATATATATATGTAAGCATGTATATACATACATATACATATACATATATATATATATATATGTATACGTATAATGGGTAGGGGGTCCCGGGCCCTCCGAAGTGCACTGATTTTTCGTCTGACCGTTTCGGGCCCAGCGGGGGGCGCCAAAAAACGTCAAAAAGGGCCGAGAGACGTCCAAGATGGCGCCTTGATGGCCCACGACCGGTCCGAGAGAGCCCAAGACCGCACAAGAGCGTTCCAAAATTGGTCCAACATGGTTTTGAAGACAGCCCAAGAGAGCTTCAAGATGGCCAAGATGCCCTCAAAAGTGCTCCCACGAGGCACTCAGGAGGCGAAGCAAGTAGGTTTCCTCAATGGTTTTTGAAGGTTGTTCGTGTTCTCGCTGTTTCGTGCTTCCAACGGTTCAAGACAGCCCATGAGGCCCCAGAAACCAGCTCAAGACGGCCCAAGAGGCACCCAAAGAGGGCGCCACGACGGCGCAATAGAGAGAGCCCCCAAGATGGCCCAAAAAGTGCCCCAAGGCGGCCCTAGAGGCGCCCAAGATCGCCTCAAGAGGGCCCCAAGAGGGGCTCAAGAGGGGGAACACGAACCGACGCACTCCTCCACAGTGCTTCCAAGGAGTCCGAGGCGGAGGATGCCACAGGAGACGCTTCCCGCACCCCAGCATACCAGCTGAAGGCTTACTGCGGTGCGGGCGAAACGATCACGAACCCCACCGAGTGCGTCACTGCCGCCGCCGCTCTGGGCTTGACCGTGAACAATGTGGCGAACGGCTTCGATTTGCCGTTTATCAATGTGAACCAAAATCAGTACCACGACGGTTGCGTCCACCGCGGTGCACCTTACTTATTCACTCTTTACTTCATGGATCCTGTGACGCATCCATCGCATGTTCCAACTATGGACATGACTTCGTGGACCAGTTGGGATTTGTGCCACGCACCAACGCCGGCCCCGACGCCGGCCCCGACGCCCAACCCGACGCCCAACCCGACGCCCAACCCGACGCCCTACCCGACGCCGAACCCGACGCCCAACCCGACGCCCAACCCGACGCCCAACCCGACGCCCAACCCGACGCCAAACCCGACGTCTAACCCTACGCCCAACCCGACGCCCAACCCGACGCTGAACCCGACGTCCGCACCCACGCCGTCTCCGACTCCGGTTCCGACGCCGGCGCCTACGCCCGTGCCGACGCCAGCACCGACCACGCCGAGCCCGACGCCCAGCCCGACGCCCAGCCCGACGCCCAACCCGACGCCCTACCCGACGCCCAACCCGACGCCCAACCCGACGCCCAACCCGACGCCCAACCCGACGCTGAACCCGACGCCAAACCCGACGACGCCCAGTCCGACGCCCAGTCCGACGCCCAGTCCGACAACCAGCCCGACCCCCAGTCCGTCCTCGCCACCGACAAGCAGCCCAACGGCAGCGCCCATCAACAACGGCCCGACGGTCTCCGGTGTCGGCGACCCGCACCTCGTGAACACCCACGGCCAGAAATTCGATTTATTTCAGGCAGGGTACCACACATTAATCAACATCCCGAGGTGGGCGCGGCGGCGGGCCAACTTCCTCGTGCAGGCGAGGGCGAGTCGTGCTGGGGCTGCGTGCGCTGATTTGTACTTTACTGAGATCAACATTAGTGGCATATGGGCTCAGCGTCACAAGGCGGCGGACCTGCGTTGGGTCGCCGAGGCCGTGAGGCCGGGCAAGGCCAAGTGGATGAAGTTCCACAAGACGATCAGCATCAAGATCGTGCAGGGTCACACCGTCCAAAACACGAGGTACCTCAACATCCTCGTGAAGGGGCTGGACAAGACCAAGGCCCCCGTGGGCGGCCTCCTCGGGGATGACGACCACACGGCGGCCACGACGTCAGACATTGGCTGCAAGAAGCTCGTGTCGTTGTGAGTCGGGGCGGCTCATATCATCATATTTGTAGCGCCTTCCTGGCATTCGCAGCGGGGCCTGGCCGGGCCCACATGCTGCAATTCGCAGCAGGGCCTGGCCGGGCCCAGCCGCTGCAGCGGCGCCCAGCACCGGAGCGCATAAAACGCACCCCGCGCGTGCGAAACGCACCCCTCGCAGGCAGACGGTTGAAAGAAAAACGTTTGCACCACCTGAGCGCCGTGACAACTGATGACATGAACCCCCTCGCCCCCGACCTTAATATTGAGAGCGATCGCGCACGCTGCAACGGCACGTATATGTCATTTGCCGATCGGCCCCAGGCGGCGCAACAACTCTCAATATCAAGGTCGGGGGCGCGGGGGGGGGGGGGGCAGCAGCGCCATCCGGTTCGCAGTCAAGCCAAAGTGGTGCAACCATTTTTCTTTCAACAGTCGTCAACGGAAGAATGAGGAGTGACGGGGAGTGGGAAGAGAGCGGAGGAATGGCGAGGAGCAGCGGGGGTAGAATGGACCGGGGGGGATGGGGAGAGTGGGGGGGACGCTGGAGGAGGCTGAAGGAATGGGGGATAGATGGAGGAATGGGTATTAACGGGTGGAGTGGAGGGGGAATGGCGAAGCGAAGTGGGAGGTAGTGCGGAGAAGGACGGAGGAGTGCGAAGGAGTGGCCAGGAGTTGGGAGGAGTGGGGAGGTGCGTGGAGGAGTTGGGAGGGAACCGAATAGGATGGAATGGGGTGCCTCCGGCACGGACCTCGCCCAAGAGGGCCTCCAGGGAGGCCTCAAGAGGACCCGCGAGGGCCCAGGACAGCTCCATCTCTCTCTCTCTCTCGCGACATCTTGGGGGCGCTCGCATCCATGGCAGACGCGCTCGTATGCGAGAGGTCAGCGGGTGACTCCGCTGCGCGAGAGCTATAGGTTGCGAGATCCAAGCATGCGATGAGGAGGGAGGGCTCTGGTCTCGGTCTAAGCGCACGGTGGCGCGAGCATCGCGGCAGTCTGTTAATGTCTGACTGGCCAGAGTTTCTGATGATATTTGCGCGCAACACGTTCAAGATAAAGTGAATAACTGCACTCATAGTTCGCAGCAACTTGAATATAATTCGCCGGCCCAACGGGCGCCCAACGGGCCAGGGCGTGCTAAGATCTCCGGTACCTGGTTGACAGTATTTCTAGTTCGCGCGCGCGGGGCGGCCCCTGGGGGTCCCCGGACGAAAAGTACCCCGGCAAGGTCCCGGCAAGTCCCCGGCAAGTCCCCGGCAAGGTCCCGGCAAGGTCGGGCCAGAGATGCCGGAGTTCTGTTTCGGAGTCCAAGAGGGCTCCAGATCGGTCCAAGAGGGCCCCGAGAAGCTTTCTAGACGATCCACGAGAGGCCCGAGACAGCCAAAGATCGCCCGAAGACGCCCCAGATGGCCCCAAGACAGCCCAAGAGGCCTCCAAGACGCTCCAAGGGCCTTCCAAGAGGCCTCCGAAGAGGGCCCCAAGTCGCCAAAATCGTTGATTTTCATTGGTTTTGTCGATGTTTTTTTGCGTTCTGGCCTTTTGGCTTCCGGACGCTCCAAGAGGGCCCAAGAGGCCTTCAAGACTGCTCCAAGACGGCCCACGAGGCTCCCAAGACGGCCCCGGAGCGGCCCAAGAGCGCCCCCCAGACGGCCCAAGTGCTGCCCAAGGCGGACCAAGAGGCCCCAAGACGGGCCCAAGAGGGGCTCAAGAAGGGAACCGAGAACTGAAAAATCGAGCCCTCCGCCCCAGAAGGCGCCCAGGACCTCGAAAGAGGCCCCAAGAGACTCTCCAAGACACCCCCAAGACGCCCCAATAAGCTCCCGTAAGAAGACCAACAACGTCAGGCCCCAGGCCCCAAGAGGACCAACAAATACCGCCAAGAGCCCGCCGAAAGCCCCCCAAGAGACCGTCACGAGGCTTCAAAACTGCTTCTAAGAGGCTCCCGAGACACCCCAACAACGCTGATTGCGGTGCAGCGCCGTGAAGCCCCAGGAGGACCCACAAATACCGCGAAGAGACCGCCGAGGGCCTCCCAAGAGACCCTGAAGAGACTTCAAAGCTGCCTCTAAGAAGCACCGGAGATACCCCAAACCGAGACGGCCCAAGAGACTCCCACGACTACTCCAAGAGAGCCTCCCACGAGGAGCCCCAACGTGAATTTGAAGTCCTCCGTTTCGAAAGACCCTCCAAGACACCCCCAAGACGCCCCAATAAGCTCCCGTGAGGCTCCAAGAAGACCAATTAATACCGCCAAGAGCCCGCCGAGAGCCTCCCAAGAGACCGTCACGAGGCTTCAAAACTGCCTCTAAGAGGCTCCCGGGACACCCCAACAGCGCTTCATGCGGCGAAGCGCCGTGAAGCCCCAGGAGGACCAACAAATACCGCCAAGAGGCCGCCGAGAGCCTCCCAAAAGACCCTGAAGAGACTTCAAATGAACTCCCCTGTTCTATCTGGCCTTTCGGATCAAGACGCGCCAGTCGGCATCGCGTGGGGAACGTTCTCCATCATCGCGCGGCGCCATGGCACGCAGCCTTCAGCAGCATTCGAAGGACGAATGACCTTGTTGCAGGTTGATTTACTTTCCAGATGACCTGGTGAAGCCTTGGCGGCACATGGCGCTCGCAAGGTTTTTCTGAGACCGACGCTTTTATCAACAGAGACTTCAAGCGAGTGCGTGAGAAGAAGAGCGGCGGTATCCTATCCTTTCGGTTGCGTTGCATCGCGTCCAAGGCGCGCGATTGAGCTGGCTGTTTGCGGCCGCACGTCGCTGGTAATGCCTTTTTATAGACGAGTGTTATAGATTGCCGATCGATCGCGCGCGCTCGCGCTTGCGTCAGAGTGGGGACTCAAGAGTGCTGAGAGGCCATCTGAAAGTTGCCAGAGTGCACCATCCCGGGGCGGTTGCATCTGCGTTCGACGATGGGCGGGATGAAGAACAACGTGTCCGCGCTGGGTTTTCTCAATTGGTAAAAGTGGCTTGCTCCAAGAACTCGCCAGAGTCCGTAGTGGTATGGTTGCGTGTCTGTATAATGTTCAGGTGGCCCGTAATATGTCAGGATGGTCTGCCTGAAAGATGAACACCGCTCATCGCCAAAACGTCATCGGCTTCTCAGATAGAACAGAAGAAAGTGGGCGGAACCATGTATTTATATGTATAAAAATAACAGATTGTTTGACTACCAATGTCGTTGTTGAGGACGCCATCGCCTTCGGGTCAAGGAGGGGGAAGGGAAAGGAAAAAACGATTGCATGGTGAAAAGCTCCGTTCATCCATCCGACAGCTCTCCGAGGATGCGGGAACAATTTCTCGACTGGTGGCGTCTACGGCCGCGACCGCTGCCGTCTCGTGGCCATTGGTTTTGCTGTTTGCGCCTTGAGCTGCCTGCCGACCCTCAATTCCTCAAGCTCTCACTGCAGTTACTTATCCTTTCTATTTGCTTCAGCAGTGCATGCAGACGCGCGGCTTGCGTACTCTCGCATTGTCTCTCTCCGTCGGCAGTTTGAGTGCCAGTGAGTGTTCTGTGAGGCTCAAACAGTTGTGCTGGCTCTGTTTTGCAGGTTCACCTGATCTGATATCCAGATGACCTATTAATGCCCGTGCGCCTCTAGTGTCGCCGCGCGCGTTGGAGACGTTGTAATGCGCGTGTGAACGGAGAGCGGCGTTGTCGAATATAAGCCTTCGGCTTGCAAGGTGAAGGTGGCTTCGTCATCCTAGCGTGGGAAGTGGTGTAGGGCACCTCGTCGTGCGATGTATAAGCTGTGGTCGCGCCATGCCATTCCCAGTTATAAAGACTCAGGAAGTATTTGGAAACGTGTATGCTATCAAGCAAAGAGCTGCCTGCAGAGCGGTGGCTTCATGGCTGCGGCAACGTCTGTGAAAGAAGTGGTCATGTCGTCAGACCACCCACAGACCCAGGCTACAATCTTTGCATGCTAGCTTTCGTTTCCCAGATGTTGCCGATAACAGATAGGAAGCACGTGTTCTAGCCGCGCGCGAGCGTCCGTAAAAGCGGGCGCGAACGTTGCGCGACGTGCTGATCACGTCGCTCTAGTTTTCCCAGAAGGCTGCTTGCTGGAAAGCATCGCGAGGATTTTGATCAACACGCTTCTTCCTTGGTGGGAGCCAGATGTGAAAATAGTTTTCTTGGGTAGCAAGGTCATCTGAAACGTAAACTAACCTGAAAACCACGCCATTGTGGTTTCTCCGAACACGCGGCATATAGTCTGCCGTGTGCGCCCCTTTGATTGCTCCCTTTCCCCATTGTTGAAGAGCGCGGTGGTGACGTAATTCTTCGGGGGAACGCCACATGGAGTTTCGTTTCGTGTTTAGAATCCAACGACGCCGTTGGGGTTGCGTTGGGGTTGCGTTGGGGGACGAGTCATCGAGTGATATCGCCGTTCACACTTCGGGTATATCGCCATCGAGTGTTGCATTATTCATGGGGCCGTTAACATTCGCTACGTTTGGGCCAATTGCTGTAAAAGGAATTTCATGGGCCGCATGTTGCAGGCGACTTTTTGAAACGCTTCCGCGTGGTCCAACCCGTTTGTCTATGTCTCTTGGCAGTCATTCTGGCTCTGCGCGGCCCGCGCGCATTTGGGGATCCGCTGCGGGCCCAAGGCGTTTCCCACATGAAGCGGCGAATTCGCGCGGGGGCTCCCGGGAAGAGCGCGCGCGCTGCTGCGAGGCCGCGCGGCGCATGCGCCCCGACGCGACCTGACCCGTAAACGCGGCGCTAGTTTTCATGATGAGTTCTTCGAGTGGGAGGCGTTGGTAAATAGAGACGAAGAAGTGGAAGCTGCGGCGGCTATTATCGAGCATTTTCGCCGACCGTCCAAAGAATGTCATATCTGGCAGCGAAAAACGGAGGAGCCGGTCGTAGAAAGGGAAGGGCAGCCTGACCGTCTTTTGGAGTGGTTCGCAAGAAAACCGAACATGGAAAAGAGAAAGCGTCAGGAGGCGCGCGCATCTACAAGCGGGCTGCAAAAGGACGAGGCGACAG